TATAGAATATAACAAGAATTACATTTGTTATAGAAGTCCGATTAGAAATATGGTAATGCGGCATGTCTAAGTTTAAGGCTACTTATCTCTTTTCAATTCAATCGAGGATATTGTCTCCATTGTTGTCATAGGGCCATTCTATGTGATCACGACTGTATGTGCCCTCAGTCCCTTGACAAATCGAGCTACGCTTGCATAGCATTTCACTTTTGACAAAACGTTAGTTGTTCTAATAATAAGGTGGCTGGAGCCTTAGTGAGCATACAAGAATTGTGCACGGCTTAAAATGAAGTAAGCATGTGAATGTCACGTTTTGATATAAGAATAGGGCAAGTAGTACCCCAAAATTTGTGAGCTGTGCATCCAATTAAATTTGCAATGTTACTGAAATATTTTTCAAGAACCTTTATGTTTGTTATGATGTCAAAGAGGGGTTGATTCATATAAGTATGTGAAAAAACCTTATCAGGTAACCTACAATCAACATGTTGCTATGATACTGTAGCAACAATAGGCTCAAGGAGGCCTAGTATGTGTACTTATGCATAATGATGCCTAAGACATGTTTAGAAGGCAAAGTTGTATGAAAAGAACTTATTTGTAATAGAAGGCTACGATAACTTATCTATCATTAGAGCCTCTGTCTCGTATCGTATAATTATGTAGAGAGAGGTGTTCCAACCTGTACTTCCGAACAACCATGAATGACCTTGTGTTCAAGTCCCGAGGAAGCTATGTACCTAGGATGTTAGTATTAGTGGTTGGATGTCAAGATACGTCATCTCAGATATGTACCCAAGATGTAGTACGTTGTTCAAAGGATGCTTGCCCCATTGAAGAGATGTGTCTTGACATCAGTCTCGGATTGCCACTTCCTTTGAAAGTGAGAGGGCTAATCTGTAAAATCATGCAATCTCTAAAGAGAAGATCATAACAAACAGAATTAATAGGTAATAAATTGTAAATTTTGAAATATATTAAGTCTTCCTCGATCGGGCGTGAATTTTTGCCATTGCCGCTCATGTGCTTCTGTTAATTGACCCTTAACTTCGAGGAGCTACCCGGCCCCGTTATTGTTTATCGACTTCGAGTCAAATTTCCTCTTTATAGGCTTATTTGTGGATTGGTCGACGTTGATGCAAAAAGTCGATGACTGCCAATTTTGATGACTTCTTGATGGCGTTATTTGATGCACAATTTTGAACCTTAGAGATTGAAGGTTGTAGCTATCTTCTATTGAAAAAAAACTCGAGTAATGGATTAGTAATAGCAAAGCCAATATCGAGAAACACGATAGGTTAGTGTCAACACTTTGATCACCTTAAAATTATTATACTTAAGCCACAATTGGCTTATAAATGAACAATTTAGATAGGACAACCCTTCATGATGGGTACTAGAGTAACAAAATTAATGATGGGTACCAAAGAAAAAGGAGCCAAGTGAAATTCAGACCAAATATTAAGACACCGATCTAGTGTACACATAAGCATGGTATTTATGATTAATAAGCAACTTGCCTTGCAGTTTCATGACCATGATATGCAATTAATTCGGTCTGAAAAAGAATAAAGGAAGCTGAATCTTTCATAAGGCGTTAGTCTCAAATATGAACCATATTGGTGTTTTGGTATATGGCTAATGATTTCATACTCGTAAAACAATGAAAACCACAATTTGCCAAGTTATCATAATTTTCATGCTTGTGTTGATTAATCTAATCTCGTTAAGTAAAAGCATGGCCCTTACCAGCTATGGCTACAGCTTACAGCTAGTTTTTGAACCCCAAAAAATTAATGAAGGCATAGAGTTGTAAATATGCAGCGGCTGGTTAAAAATTTAAACAATAGCATCATAATCTATATTAATTGAGAGATAGAACCTGGCGCTTTGACTTGGCAAAGCTTCTTGCATGTAATCACGGTTCTGCCTCATGCTTGATCCCCGATACTCGCGAGGAGATTCATGCCGGAGTTGCCATGCGATATTTCTCAATCACTGAGGAGGAGGAGAATGGTCAATGTAAGTAACACCGCCGATTCAAGAGAATTTGTTTAAAGGGGAAACCCTAGTGGGTCCCACTGGACGAGCCACTTGACGAAGCATAGATTTGTATCAACGTCTCCAGTTGATTGAACTGGCGGCCATGGCAGTATCAAAACTCTAAAACCTGCAAAATAGGGCCTCGGGGTCTTCCGAGGGTAGACACTTCGATGCTTAATTCAGTAACACTAATTGTGATAGGGGTATGAATTGTGGTGTGTAGAGCGTACCTTTGATGTGAGGGGTTGATCCCTATTTATATAGCTAGGGTTACTTGTTTATGAAACCCTTTTATTGGTAGGAAAATAATAGCAACCGCCCTAAAAGTTTCCAGGGCCGGTTGATTTGCTTACCAAACTTGGGCCGGCCTAATCGTGGGCCGTATTAATTAGGACTCGTCAGTGATACTATACACACATGAACTAGTACCCTTCCATTTAGAGTTCACAAAGCCTTCCCAGCCAAGATTCCTAACTTTCAAGAGCTGCTTCCAGTGCCAACTGGTATCTTGCTTGGCCTCAACTTCCCAGATAGTAGTGCCTTCTATATATACTTCATGCACCCATTTGACCCATAAGGTATCGATTTTTTGGGCTATGTTCCAAACCTGCTTCAAAAGAGCAGCTTGATTCCAACATTTGTTTCCCAGGCTATAAGAGGTATGGACCTACCAGATTGCTTGGGACCCCAAACAAAATCCCTGCATATTCTAGAGATCTGCTTTATAAGACTTTGAGGTAAAATAAAGGTGCAAGCCCAGAAAATGTGTAAAGATATCAAGACAAAATTAGTGACCTGAACTCTCCCTGCATACGACAGATTTCTAGATCCCCACCTTTTAATTCTCACCATCATTTTCTGGATTGGAGCATCACAATCTAATTGAGACCATTTTTTAGGTGACAAGGGGACACCAAAATACCTCATAAGGAAATCGCCTTCACTGAAACCTGCAACTTCGCATAATCTGAACTTCATCTCCTGCGTGACCCACCAAAGTAAATATGAGATTTTTGCAAATTTGGTAGCAGCCTCATTGTTGCTGAAAAATCTTCAAGGTCTGCTATAAGACATCTGATTGAATGCTGCTCTGCTTTACAAAACAGCATTAAATCATCAGCAAAACAGATATTTGTTAACTGTAAATTCTTGTAGAGGGGATGAAATTTAAAATTAGGGTTTCCAGTCGCCATTTTTAATCGTCTTGATAGGTATTCCATTACAAGAACGAATAAATAAGGCGAGATGGGATCCCCCTGCCTGAGTCCTCTTTCTCCTTTGAAATTGTCCGCTAATATGCCATTCATAGATAGAGTGAATGAAGTGGTAGTTACACACTCCATAATCCACCTGTGAATCTTTTTGAAAAGCCATATCCATACATTATCTCCTCTATGAACCCCCATTCCACAGTATCAAAGGCTTTCTTGATGTCAATTTTCATCAAAGATCTCCTAGATACATTCTTCCTTCGATATAGCCGAATTAACTCTCGGACAATGAGCACATTGTGGAGCATCAACCTGTTAGTCACGAAAGAACTCTGGTTTTCATTTATTAAATCAGACATCACATTCTTCATTCTTTCACAAAGGACTTTGGAGATACACTTGTATACCAATTGCAACAAGCAATGGGTCTGTAATATCCTGCATTGCATGGCACTTCTGTTTTGGGGATTAAGGCCAACAATGTAGCATTCAACTGCTTGAATAGACTGCCAGTGGAGAAAAATTTTTGAACTGCCTCAATGATTTCAGCTCCCATGATTTTCCAAGTTTTCTTTAAAAAATCGCTTGAGTAACCATTTGGCCCAGGACTTTTACTGCTATTGATATTCCACATTGCCCTTTTAATCTCCTCAGCTGAAACAGGTTTAATAAGCTCTAGCTGTTGAGAGAGGGTTAATCTATGCCCCTGTTGATACACTTCGAAATCAGAGGTCACCCTTATGGTCTTCTTCCCTAGCTGGTGTTTGAAAAGTCCAGGAAATACTTCTCAATTTCTTTCCAATCATTCCTCAAAGAGCCATCCTCCTCCATATAAGACCAGATTCTATTCTTGATGTTTCTTTGGTTCACTTTTGCATGAGAAAAAGTAGCATTGCTCTCTCCTTGTTGAATCCGTTCTTCTTTGGCTTTTTGAATCCAATAAGTTTCCAGAGCTTTTGCTAGTTGAAAATACGCTTGGTTTTTTTCCCTTTCCTCAGTTTGAGCTTGCAGATCAGTTGGGGATTGATGGAGTTTGTTTTGCACATCTAGTAATTGCTGGTATGCCTCTTGTGTTCTACCTTAGATATCTGAGTATTTCTGCTTGTTTAGTTGTTTCAGAACCAACTTCAGCCTTTTCAGTTTCTGAGAGAGCTAAAACATCTTTGTTCTAGATACTGGTTGCATCCAACTCTCTGCCACCAAAGAGAAGAAGTTTTCATCCAAGCTCAAAAAGTTAAAGCATTTGAATGGCTTTGGTGGCTGATTGATCTGTACGTCAGTCTGAATGATAAAAGAAGTATGATCCGACACTCCTTCTGGGGGAACTGTAGCCAAAGACCTTTTGTACTTCAACATCCAGTCGAATTAACTAGGGCTCTATCGATTGTAGATATTATTCTGGAGCTCCCCACCTGCTTGTTGGACTAAGTAAATAGATGTCCTTGCTTCTTTATATCATAGACTTCACACTCATCAACACAATGCTGAAATCCCTGGATTTCTAATAGTGAGACAAGATTCCTACCAACTCATTCATCCATTCTTAAAACATTGTTAAAGTCACCAGTAATTAACCAAGCAACTCTTATATTTCCTGCTAGTACAATGAGATCCTCCCATAAATTAGACCTGTCATTTAAACTGTTACTAGCATAGACCACTGTTAAGTACTACCAGTTATTATGGCTAGTACAGACTTCGTAATGGACTAGCTGATCAGTACTCTTGATGATCCTTATCTTCACACTATCTTTCCTCCATAATAAACAAATTCTCCCCAGGGGATGCTGTTCAAAATTAACATAGAAGTCATAATGCTGTCACCGTTGTTTTAAATACTCCTCACCCTTACTTTTGATAGTTTAGTTTCTACAAGAAAAACAACTTCTACTTTATAAGATGCTACTAATCTAGCTACTTCACGTTGCTTACTGTGGCTATTCAAACCTCTAATATTCCAAGATAAAAGTGTTGTCATATGATACCTGGATCAGGGGGCTTATCAGTATCCACTTCTATTTGAGATTCCATTGCTGTCTTAATTGGACCTGCTTCATCATCCAGAGCTAGCACTTGAAAGGTGGATTGATTGATGTCCAACAGTTGCTGGTTCTCCTCAGCTACATGCTGTTGGCGAATGAAATTCTCTACTTCTTGTACTGGATCATCCTCCTCTGATTCAACTACTACTGCTTCTCCCTTTTGCACCTTCTTCGGCTGTCTTGACAGACTTCGGAGCTGGTTGAGGAGCCGGTTTACTCATCTCAGTGTTCAGTTTCTTCCTACATACCTCTCCCCCATGGCCATTTCGTGGGCCTCCATTCATAATACACCATGAGATTGCAGCACCCCTTTTTCATCTTGAAAGTGAGATATTACTGGGGGGAAATCTTGAATTTCAAACTCAATTAGAACCCTGGCATAGTGAACCTTTGTTTTCTCTGTGGTTTCTACATCAGCCATTATCGGCTTCCCCAAAGTACTTGCTAGATGACTTAAAGATGTTGTATTCCAATATTTGAGCTCCAGCCATTGGAATTGAACCTAGACTGGTACACTTGACACCTCCCTGATGTTGATACCTTTCTCAATGTTCCATGGCTTATCAATACAGGGTGCCCGTTCATATGATAGATATTGATATTCAAAGCCTCTTTTTTGGCTATTACAGTTTTAAATCGAACTAAGAACAAGCTAGAAGGCAAAAGTAGTACCTTGTCAACATCATTCTTCCATAAACTACTATAGAAACGGTTCATCACCGGTAGTGGAGGGTTCGCCACCAATACAAAACTGACGAGGGATTGCTCCCAATACTCAGATTCGGCTTTCACATCTGGCGATTTCATCTGGGCCACCTTCTTCCCTTCTTGCTCAATAGGCGCAATAAATTCTAGCTTGGCTCCTGCTTTCTTCATTTTGGAAGGGTTAAAACCCTGCCACCCTAGATCCCCTTTGCTCTGCTCTGCTTTGTTCTTTCCAGACCATTCAATCTTTCTTGCCACTGGGACTCCCAAGATCTGACTTAGCATTTTAGGGGATTCATCAATCCCTACCTCGCCTGAATCTATCCCTCGTGAAAGGGATTTTCTAGGGTTTCCGCTGCTCATTATACTTTCCTTCTCATCCGATTTCACCAGATTACCAGTCAATACCTTTCGATTCGTCTGTCCCGTAACATGCTCAGTTGGTGTGGATATGATTTCCGACGATTTTTCCTTCCTTCTCCCCTTTTGTTTTCCCTTTCCCATGGCGCGTTCACATCGTCTAGAGAGAGGAAACGACGAAGAGAGAGAAGTTTATGTTTCTCTTACTGCATTACAATCTTTGTAGAATTGAGACAATAGTATTTGAGATTTTATTATAATGTAATTTCTGTTTCTTTACAATTTTGAACACCAACCTCATGTGTTAAATAAACGACTTCCATTTTATTTAACTCACAGAAAGAACATTATCCTTATTCGAGATTTTGGTTTTTTTTGGGAGGGTTGATTATTCCTGAAGAATTCTTGATCCTCTATTTTTAAAGTCGAAGAAATGGTCTGGTGCCAACACATAATCATGATATACAACGGATCAAATAGAAGACCGTTAAGGTTTATGGAAATGTGCTTCTCGTATTTAGAAGTATGACAACAAAACAAAATTAGACTCCTTAAAGGAAATAATAAAATTATTCAAACTTTGACTTATTAGTTTGTATAATCTAAATTAACTTTGAGATTCAATTGGAAAAAATGAACGTATGTAATACTTCATCTCTATCACAATATTATAAATAATACTTTATCCATTTGTGTGGTAAATTTAGTATCAGCGACAGCTGCTGGTGTTGAAGTACTGAGGGTGGTTGGTGTGAATGGAACACAAAAATACTATTACTTCCGTATCAAAATAATTACCTCACTTCCGAAATATTATCCAGTTTTAATTTTTATTTCTAATACAAATTTATAAAAGGCCATGGAGTTCCACATCAAACCAATTGATAATAAGGAGAGTAACCCAAACATTTATATATTGATATCCATTCATTTCCAGCACCGATGTGGATTTTTCAATACTCCATCGCAAGTCCAACGGATTTTTTTTTTGGTTGGGATTGGCCTATTTTTTCATCCTAGGCACCGCTCACAGTCCAGCTTTGCTAAATTTGTTACATAAGGTGTTTTTTTTTGGAGTGCGATGTTGGCGGCATTCCATACAAAAACTCATGAGGTTGATAACACTAAAATATATATACTTTTTGCTGGTATTTTCCACTCATTTTTACTTAGAATTAGATATAAATTAGATAGAATTAATTTATGTTTGGGTTGTATTTCAGGGTGGTCAGAAGGCCAAAGTAGAATATCAGCATAAATTGAGGCCAAATTGCACAAAAGAGCATAAAAAAGGACCAAATTGGAAGCTGCTGGAAATCAAGGGCTGGAAGGATCGATCAGAGCTGAGCAAGTAGAGGAATCCTTGCTGAAGAAGGAAGATTGATAGCAGATGATCTCAAGTTGATGAACTCTGCAGCAACAAACTCAATTGAGGAAGAAGAAGTGATAGTTATTCTGCTGCCAAGTTGTCGCTGCAGTTGTTGTTGCTGCTGTCAATCAAGAGGAGCCAAGAGCTGAAATCTTGCTGCCAAAAGAAGGAATTGCTTTACCATCACTGCAAGTTGTTGTTGTTGCAAGTGGAAGAAGAGAAAGAGGGAGAATATGAAGAAATCAACAGCTGCAACTCTGCTACTTACCATCTGCTGTTGCTACTGACTGAAGTGAAAGATTAGCTGCTACAGGAAGGTGAGAAATGGTGCTGCAAGTAATCCCAGAGACAAGGAAGAAAATAGCAGAAGATTGAGGCTGAATTGGGGGCTGGAAAGGGAAAAAATATAATGATGGAAGGAAACATACTGCTGATGCTGCTACTTGCTACTGCTGCTAGTTGTGCTGCTGAAGATTAAATAATGAAGGAATGGAGATTTGTGGCTGAAATTGGAAAGGATGCGCCGGAGAAGAAGACTAAGAAGAGGAAGTAATGATGAGGGGAAGGTAGCTGATTGCGGCTGAAGAAGGAAGGAGCAGCCAAAGAGAAGACACCAACTTGTCAATTGGGCAAGTTGCTGAATAAACAAATCCTTCAGCTGCTGCAAGTTGTTGCCTCCACCAATCTGCTATGGAGAAAAAGGCCAGAGCTCAACCAATCCAAGCCTCTCCAATTCTCTATAAATAGTCAGCCAATAGTAGTTAGAAAACAACAGATTGGGGTAGTTAGAATCAGACCAAAGACAGTTTAGTTAGTTAAGTTAGTTAGGTAGAGACAAGATAGTAGCAGGAGCTAAGAGTGCAGACTGTCACTCTGTCAAGTGGCGAAGGCCACTCGCCAAAGTGAGCAGACACAACTTGCCCTGCTACCACTTCTCCCTTCTATCGTCTAACCCTTTGATCTTAATTATGACTGATCTTTTGTACTTTGTTTCTCTCATGTTTAACTCAATAAACATGAGTAGCTAAATTCAATTAAGGGTGTAATCCCTACTATCTATATGTGAAAGTTTTGATTCAGTTTCTTATATGAGGTATTGTTTCTAGTTAAGTGTTAAAATTAACTTTTTTATTAAACTGGCTAAATAAATTGATTGTGCATGCATAGTTATGGAGATCTGACAGGGGGACCATAACTTTAGAACGACTTAAAATAGTCTACGACAAAGGAGGAAATCTACTCTTTGGTTTCAATCATCAACTAGAGTTTGGTGCATTGGCATAGGTGATCAATAAAGCTTAAGAACTCAATGGCTTGGATTAATGAATTATTCTGACTGAAAGGTAAGTAATTTGATTAATTTGGGACTTTTTATTCTGTCTGAGAGGAATTGTAAAGAATATAAGTGCCTGATCAAACAATAAATCATATGCAACAAGAACTAAAATGGATCAAAACCGAATCATATAGATAGGAAGATCATTGGCCCTTCTGCTCTTCACTCTGTCAAGTGACTATTCTCACTCTTCCGAGTGACAAATTTGTTCAGTTCATTTTCCTTTGCACATTAATCAGATTTTAAGCGGTTAACTGCCATCTCTGTGGAACGACCCTTCTTACCACTAGCTAATAGTTTTATATAGGTATTTATATTTTCTTTTGGAAGTGTCAATGACTCATTCACCAGAGGTTCCACCTCAAAAAAAGCAAATGACAACGAGGGATGTAACCCAGACACTTATACATTGATATCTAGTCTTTTCTAGCACTGATGTGGGATTCTAAATAATATTATACTAAAAATAAAAATTCAAACGGGAAAATTATTTTGGGGCAGAGAGAGTATCATTTTTTGTCCTAGAATAATATACCGAACAAGATAATTTTTTTATTTTTAATTTTGGCATATGTAGATTATTTTTTTCTCTTGTTGATAACAAAGTTTGGAAATTGTACTCCAAATGTTTCTCCTAAAATAATTATTCAAATTTTATACTCTTTTCGTCCTTAAAATAATTCCAAAAAGATTTTTTGTAATTTGTACTAAATTAATTCGTATTACGACACTCAATTTAGATTGCTTTTTTTTTTTGGAGATAGAATAGTACTAATTTCATGTGAAAACCAAAAGTTTAGCTTAAATTTTCATCTAGAAGTCAACCTACTCAAAAATTATTTCCACACATCAAATTCATCCTATGAGTTGAACACGGATGTGTAATGTACCGAAATTGACCAATTGACAACTTGTTGTATTGAACGAGACTAAGAGAATTATTTAGCAAAACCGATACAAGACAATTCATACAGATAGGGAAACAAATGATCTTGCTAATATATATATATATATATATATATATATCTATATATATATATAGTTCAGAATTTTCTTTTTTGTCAAATGTCGAGTTAAGAGCTTTTTTTTACCACTTGTCAACGTAAGATTAATTTTTTTTTTGTAAATTGATTATTTTCATTTTACTTTTCACCTATGTCTTTCAACTATTTTTATTACTTCCGTATATATTTGAGTTTTGAACTTCACGAATTATTAAAATTCATTCATAAAATAACTAGCATTTATTAGTTACTAGATCAATTACGAAAATCAATTTTGATATTTTGATCTTAACGAATGTCCATATTAATAATGAGTAAAATTTATTCTTAAAATAACTAGATCAAAAATTAATTTGATTAATTATTTGCATTTATTTAATAAAAAATATCAAATGTTATTCCATTTACTTAACTACTTATTTCATATCAATTCTATAAATATTAATAATTCAAAAAGGCAATTGATATATTGAGGTTGGTTTTTTTTCCTTCATACTATCTATATTACCCTTCTTTGTGATTTTAATACATTTACCTTATTTATATTTTCATTAGTTTTTTGTTGCTTCTTAAGGACTGTAGATAAATCTATCTCACTCATTTATTAATATATATATCTTTTTGGTAAAACGTAAATATTTATTGATCATCAAGAAAATCATATTTACACCAAGTAAAGTCCTTGCTACTGTCTATGTTGCTATCTAATGCTGTAGTATGCTATACAAAGACACTAAGGATAAAGTGCTTTCAAAATTTTTCCTTCCCTAACAAAACTTTTGTTTCCCTTAAAACATTCCACCCTCCAAAAGACTTCTTGCTTGATCTGTTTCAGAATCATCTCCATGGTCCTTTCTTTTCCTCAAAACACCCTCTTATCCCTCTCCTCCCAAATGTGACATACCATGGCAGGCATAGATGCAAACATGATTCTCCTTCTTAACTTCTGATTTTTATATCCCTCCAATATTCTGCTTCTCCAAAACAATTGATCACCTCACAGAGTTGGTATTTCAACCATCGGCACACCTACATCAGTAGCTCAGCAAAAAATTTACATTCAAGAACACGTGGGAACTTGTTTCCAGAGGATTCTGACAAAGAATACATTCTAGACAATCTTCAATATATTCATTTTACTCATTCTTTCCTTGGTAAGTAGTCTGTTATGCCAGAACAACCACACAATGAAAGAGTGTTTTGGCACATTATATCTTTGCCAGATAAACTTAGCAGCAGGCCATTCCTCTACACTACCAATGAGCCAATTGTAACCAGAAGAAAGAGTATATTT